CTTGCCTTCACCGTGTGTTTTTGGCGGCAACGGCCGCTTGCCTTCGCCGGGTGTTTTTGGCACCAAAACTATGGCGAAGGTAATGGCCGCTTGCATTTCACCGTGTGTTTGCCAACGGCCGCTTGCCTGCACCGTGGTTTTTGGCACCAAAACTTTGGTGAAGGTGACGGCCGCTTGCCTTCACTATGTGTTTTTGGCGGCAACGGCCGCTTGCCTTCGCCGGGTGTTTTTGGCACCAAAACTATGCTGAAGGCAATGGCCGCTTGCTTTTCACCGTATGTTTGCTAACGGCCGCTTGCCTGCACCGTGACTTTGGCACCAAAATCATGGGGAAGGCAACGGCCGCTTACCTTTAGCGTGTGTTTGTTTTTACGCTAAAACCACGGCGAAAGTAACGGCCGCTTGCCTCTACCGTGTATTTTTGCCTTCATCGTGTGTTTCGGGCACCAAAAGCATGGCGAAAGCAATATTTGATTTTGGTATGATGAAGGCAACGGCCGCTTGCCTTTATCGTGCGTTTTTTGGTACTAAAACTATGGTGAAGGTAATGGCCGCTATTTTGATATTATAATTATGGGGAAGGTAACGGTCGTTTATTTGTACCGTGGGTTTTGGGCTCTAGAAGTATAGCGAAGATAACGACTACTTATTTTCTCTGTTTATGATGAAGGTAATGGCTGCTTGCTTTTATTGTGTATTTTAGGTACTAAAAATATGGGCAATGGTCGTTTTTTTTTACCGTATATATTATTTGAGACTATATTATTTGTTTTAATGGATTTTTTGATAAGAAATTATGGTGAAGGTAATGATTATTCGTCTTTATCGTATGATTTTGGACAGCAAAATTATGGTGAGGGAAATGAAGACTTATTTTGTGAACTATTAGAATTATGGCGAAGGTAACGGTCGTTTATTTTTGGCATTAATATTATTTATAAAGTAATGGTTATTTATTTTTATCGTATATTTGATAATTACTACTTATTTTTGTTATATGTTATTTGTGTTCAAGCCATGTTGAAGGCAATGGTCGATTGTCTTATAATGAAGATAATGGTCGTTAGCTTTCAGTATATACTTTTGTTTATGTTTGCTTTTGGCAATAAATTACGATGAAGATAACGGAAGGTCGTATATTTTTGACCTTAAAATTATGGTGAAGATAACGACCACTTGTTTTTGTTATATGTATTTTGACATTAGAAATTCGTGTATTTTTGGAATTAAAATTATGATGGAAGATATTAGTTATTTATATTCTTTATTTGGTTTTGATATCGAGATTATGATGAAGATAATGATTATATATTTTTGGCGTCAAAATTATGGCGAAAATAATGGTCGCTTGCCTCCGCCGTGTGTTTTCGGCACCAAAATCATGGCGAAGGCAACGATCGCTTGCTTTCATCATATGTTTTAGGAATTAAAATTTTGGAGAAGGTAACGATCGCTTGCCTTTATCGTGTGTTTCGGGCACCAAAAGCATGGCGAAAATAACGATCGCTTGCCTTCTCCGTTTGATTTTGGCATGATAAAACCAACGGCCGCATATCTGTATCGTATATTTTTTATATCAAAATCATGATGAAGGCAATGACCACTTATCTTCACCATATATTTTTGGCATTAGAATATCAGATTGTGGAGAAGATAATGTCCACTTGCCTTCACCGTATATTTAAAGTAATGGACCGCCCGAGATGTCGTGCAAGAAAATGAGATATAAGGAGAGATTGAGGGCGGGGAGGGGATGGACCTGTCCTCGACTCGAATTTTGGAAAATTATTCTTTTCGTGATTAAAAAAATAACGAATTGGACCTAGCTTGAATTCATTCCTTTCTATCGTGTGAATCAGTCAGCCCGCCAATTGGAATCTGTGCGCCGGACCGGGCATCGTCGAATTCAATTAACTCATTATATCTTTGTGTCAGATGAATTTTCTGATTGACGTCTCTTTCTATCTTCTTCTTTATATTTTCTTTCTTCCTTTTTTCTTCTTTCTCCTTCTTTCTATTCCTATTCAATCACGCATTCATTATATTCATTTATGTCATTCACTCGCTCACGTCGGCCCTATTCCACCCCCGAGCGCGCTTTGGGACCGCAGCCTTTGATTTTGAGGATTTAGAGGTCTAGGGCTCTAAGGCTTAATACGGCTCAGGGTTTAGAGGTCGCTAGTATTTTCGGGTTTTGTGCTTGGATTTTGGATAGATGATTTTGAGGATTTAGGGCTCTAAAATTTAATATGATTTAAGCTTTAGGGATCTATAGGAATTTAGGACTTGATGATGAGATATATCATAAATGATCTCAAAATATTATATTTCAGATTATTTCGTCTATATCGTCTCACTTATATCGTTTTTCTCCCATTCATTCTTCTCATTTATCTTTCATTCATTTATTCTCATTCTTTCAGAAGTTGCTAATCTTTTCGCTAAAATACATATGGAGGAATTATATGAATTTCCAATCTTTAGATCATTGGAAATTCGATATAGTAATATTTCAGCAATATCAGAGCGGATTCGTTATTTTTAATAGTATAGAGCGACAATAGAAAAAGCATAAAATTTCATGATGAATGTTGGAATATATATCTTATATTGAATCCTTCATATTGAAGCGACTAAGAACAAATCTATATCTGACGACTCATGGATATGAATTAGGAGAAGGCATATTGAGAGAAATTTGATATTTATATAATATAATATATTATAGACAAATAGATTTTTTCTAAACAAATATAATCGAATTAAATTCTTTTGATTATTTATATAAGAAGACGAATATCGATTAATATCTATTGAATCTAAATAATATGAGATTTAATTCTGATTTTTTCATTATATGAAAAAGATTATTTTCATAGAATTCTATTTATAAATATAAAAGATCTCTTAATCCGATTCATGAATATATATATATATATGAGATATTCGAATATATCTTTCTGATAATATCTAATCGCTTAATTGAATCTCTCAACATATGCAGCTAAATAAATAGACAACAATCTAGATAGATATAGATAGATAGATCTAGAGAGATAGATATATATATATATGGAGACGGATAGACGCAACGAAATAGATAGATTAGATAGAACAGACAAGCAAATAGAGAGATACAGAGAGAAATTGATATAGAAATAGAGAGAGAGAGAGAGAGAGAAAGAAATAATATATATATATAGATAAACAAATTGATTCTAGGAGATATATAATAAATAATCAAACAGATATATATTTATATATAAAGAGAGATTTTCTAATAATATCTAAAGAGATTCACGAATATATATATATATATATATAGAAAGAGAGAGAGAAATTAATTAAAGAGATTTGCATTCAGAAAGAACGATATTGGAATCATTATCAGAAAACGATAAAATTATTTTATATATAGATTTTTCCATTTTAAATTTAAAATAGATTTTGCTTATGAAAAAGCCTAGAAATTTTATAATCGCGAATATGATTACCATAAATCTTGGAAATTCTATGATCGCAAGAATATCTTCCAAAATTCATCAGATTTAGAAGATTTTACTGTCGCGAGATTTCCTAAAGTCATTATAATTTCTAGGATTTTAGTCTCCGGAACTAAGTTATCGCAAGATTCAAATTGCTAGAATTTATCATCATGCAATTAATATATAAGAATTTCTCAAGAGAAAATTCATTAGAATACCGAATTATAAGAACCAAGATCGTATAAAGACATAAATAAGACGACCTCGCTATTATATCTATATATATAAGAATGTCATGTTCTTATTTTCAATACGAGATGGAATATCACGATCTTTTCATATGAAAAAAAGAATCTTATCAGAAATTACGATATATTAAGAGATATAAATCTATCCGAACAGATAAATGAAGAAATAGATAGAGGTAGATATCCGAATAAATAGAAAAATAAATGGATAGATAGAGACATCTATGAAATTCGATTCAGAGAAATCAATCGTATTTATTTGCCATATCTCTCTTGGAAGAATCCAAAGAATTCCATAAAATAAATATTCGTCATATATATATTTCCGAATCAATTTATTTTATATCCAAGCCGTCGATAAGCAATATCATATTATCATATCTTCTTTTTCTTATCTATATATTCACTTTTCTAATATTTCTTCGAATTCATTAAGACTCCTATTCCCAAATATTAATATATCTTATTTTATCTTTCTATTAATATGGCATAATTTTCTTATTTATTTATTTCTCTTCTTGTCACGATATTCCCTATAAAATATATTTTCTTATCTATCATTTCGCGGTATTCGATATACCTAGATCAATATATCAAAATATTCTTCATCATAAACAAGTCTTGACCCAATAATTATCTTCTTAATATCTCAATATTTTCTAATTCTTTTCTTATTTCTCAAATTCATATCTTATTTCTCCCAATATCAATCGTTCGCCAATATCCACGATATCTTCTTCCATTTACTTCCCTCCATCTTATTTCCGATATTCGCACGCTCTCGAATCATTTCCCCCTCCACGACACGGCCTCACCCAACATGCCGCCCTCATCCATATTCCCGTGACACGCCCTCCGACTCTCCCCACGACAAACATACACATTCATCCACAACGAAGAATTCTACTTACAATATCTACCCGATCCACAAGGTGCGAAACATTATATTTTCCAGAAATTAGAAGTATCCGAATCAATTATTTCGAGAAAATTCCCCCCGAATCTCCAAAGTTCTTTAATATAAAATCTTTCAATACCCAAATACATGCAAAAAAATCCCAAGTAATTTGAAAGCAGATCAATAATTACGCCATATAATGTCGAAACCAAAAAATATAGAAAAGAAAATTAATAAAATAGATTATTTCATTTATTTAAGATATTTTATATTAAAATATTATATATATATATTTTTTTTTAATTTCTAGACGAAATCGAATAATTAATAATTCATTAAATTCGAATTCTCAACAAGAAACCCTTATTATAAGATTACCATATATTTTGAGATTTCTAAATATAAAATTATCTAGTCGTATATATTTTTCTATTTATTTAGATTATATTAAGATTATATATTCTATATTCTATTACAAAATAAATATAAAATCTATTTCATTAATATAAATTATATATGTAATATATCGATATTTGTCGATTTCATTAATTTTTTATGATTTTTGAATATATTATTATGTAAATCGAAAATCAATTTTCAATTATAAGATTCGATTGCGGAATTAAAAATTTGAATATTTTAAAATAACAGAGATCATAATAATAAATATATGAATTCATTTCTCTATATATATAGAATAAGCAGATATTCTGTATATAAATCATGCCAATCTTTCTAATAATTTTATCAGATGATTTAGATCATCTATTTAGATATGCGAATAATCTGTTCATTTATGCTTGAAGTTTCGATCATATATATGCCAGCCATCGAAATTTTAAATCTTTTTTCCGATGTAGAGATTGGCACTCGCCGTGAGTGGCTTCGGAAAAGTTAATAATTGCAAGTCAAGTTGGCCATCACCTGCCCTTAGGGCACCGCCACGAGACACCTGCAGAAAAGTTGCAGCGGCTCCAGGCCTACGCAGTTGCCACGGCAGGCAAGCGGAGCAGAATGAAGCCGTGATTTCAGTACTTGCAAGCTTACTTCAACAGCCATTTCAAGCACAATCCAATGGGCCTTGATCTTAGGATGTCTTTAGCGTCCAAAACTTGGCTCCACGACTCTTCAGTGTCAGTCCGAGCCATCCTGTCGCGCAGGAGTACACGGATGCATTAAACGAAATGAAATCTCCATGTGATGGTCCCGAAAATGAGGTACGGTGAGGTGCTTGCAAAAATGTGATTTCAATGATAAGGCTTGCACTGCTCAGTTCATGCAACCACCTCCCGTTGTCGAAGTGACGGACTGGACCAGAGTTCTGGTTGCATGAGCGCAGCATAACCATTGATTGTGCCATCATGTGCCATCGTTTCAGACCGTCGAGTCCTTGCCTTGATTTGAAGTCTCTGAGTGCACAGAAGAAAAACGATGGAAGTGTGGCACAGTTTGGGATCGGGAGCTCTGCACAGCAACTGCTTAAACACTGTACGGTCACTGCACCGTCGCATCGCGAAAATGTGTGATGACTACACATGTCTTCACCAAGCAGCGCATGCGACAAAACCAATCCACTCCTTATAACTGTCAGGGTATCACTGCATAATACTGCACTCCTGCTTGGGCCTTAAATGAGCCACGGGGACCGAAGGGAGACCTGTACATGCAACAACTTAAAGACGACATGTCAAGGATCCCATCAGCTCATCAAGCAGCCAAATATGGCGATGGCACAGACCTGCACACATCAACGGAAGAGGAACCCGTTCACTCACTCGCCACTGACGTCTCTTGAGACTCCAGCTCCAGCAGTTGCCAATCGTCCAAGTCCGAGCTCTTCACAGCTGACACCTCCAGGTCTCTCGTGCGCGGAGGACATGCTTGTGGCTCATGAAACAAGGACAGACTCGAGCATCAGCCACGTTGAGCGACCTCCGGACAATCCTCCTCCATCCTGGAGATGCGATTAGCTGCTAGCAAGCTGCACAAAGATTCCTGCATGGTGCTCTGTGCAGAAATCCACGTGAGGACTGGACATTGACCTCGAAGCCTCCCAAAGGGTCTTCCAGTAGGCTTCTTCGGCCAAAGCTGGCTGCGGTTTGCTAGGAGCGAAAGCGACCTCAGAGCGAAAGCTCTGCAGCCCAACTCCCCAACTAGCCGGGCTGAGTCCCGCCTCCATCGCTTCAGGGGAGAGGTCATCGTCTTCCCCGACCCCGGACAACATCGCCTAATCGGGGGACACCAAACCTCATCAAATAATGTCCATGACAAACTGCGTGGCGATAAGCTGCAACAGTGCCGTTTCAGACAAAATCTCGAAGTGCCCAGTGCCCTCCAATGTGTCTCTACACGCAACTGGGCATTCAACCACACTGCGATGGCATGTCTGAACGAAAGTCGTCCAAGAAGCCCCAACAAAATGTTCAGAACTAGAAGGATGAGGGCACCTTCAGCCTCCTCGACCGCGCAGCGGCGTCCTGGCGTCTTTTGCCAACATCGCCTGTTTTGTCAGGGACAGCGGCAAGGTTTTACTCGCGGTCTGAGGCCCTGACCTTGAGAGCCATGAGCCTGCAGTGCAGCTGCAGCGTTGACACAAAAACTGCCAGGTGCCGCTTCTCTCGGCCTTGACGGCTACTGCACTCTCATCACCCAAAAGGATGTTGACGACTGCTTTTTGCTTCCGGTCAAAGTTCGCGTCGTAGGTGCAAGCCTTACTTACCTGGCCGCGAATGCGTGATGGGAGGCAGGAGTCGGGCCCCATTGCTCCATGTCACTAGCAGTGTAACATAGCACGCCTTTAACTTTCTGGATTCTTGGTCAGACTCTTCTCGCAGAGTCCTTGCACTCCATCCGCCAAATCAAAGCTTTACCCGCGACCTCTGATGAGCAATCTCAAGTGAAGCTCCTCGTGCTCTCTGTGCTCAAGTTCTGATCCGCAGCAACCTGCGAGAACATGAACATCAGCAGCGTGAACAGATCCATCCGCGCATTTAAATTCAGACGAGCATACCTCCATGTCCTCCACTGTGTCCAAGTGCGAACTACCTGCACCAGGGGTACAGCAGCGCAGCTATGCGAAGACTTCATTGGCAGGGTGGTTGCCATTTCTCGATTCTCCCCGAACTGAGCTAGAAGACCATAGCTCCGAGGTGCTTAAGAGCAATATGCAACCGGCCATGGAAATAACTGTCATCGGTTAACCCATTAACATCACGGCATGAGCGCTAAGAGGCGATAACCCATCCTGGTCAGAAGTGCATAGGAAGGGGCCACTAGATAAATCCGGCTTCCAAGATCTCGACTTGGTCGTGCTTGATTGAAACAGTGCCACATGCAAACCATGAGGGCTGCCTTCCGTGTATGGCCGAAGAACTTTGGCCAGCAGGGATGTTCTCATGTGCGATGATGCTGGCCTGCAAGCCGTGCAACAGCGCAGAAGGAATCCCTACCGTCTAGGACTACGAAGCTTAAATCGACCAGTTCTTGGTTTCCACACATGGCTCTATGCGTGCCAATACATCTGTCCTGCAGTGATGTTGAATGAGACTGCCAAGGCGCCGTCTTTTTCGATGCCCCTGCTTCCGATGGTCTCGATGCACGGAGACGCAGAAGAAACTTTGGGATCTACAGCAACGACCCTCCATCAGGAGTGGCATCTCGCATGCTACCGGGTTGGCATTCGCGGAAACTCTCTCCAATCTGTGTCAAACCCGAAGCCCATAAAGTCCTATAGAGGTTGAAAACATTGACAGATGGCCTGCAGTCTGCTTCTGCACTGGTAGAAACACTGGCGCCACCACCACCTGACTGTGCGAGTTCTGTGCAAGGACAAGCAGGTCTCTGTCCGGACCGGAACTGCACCAGTCCTGCTTTCTTCCACGAGTTCTGCGAGCGATTCATCACGACAGACAGACGGACAGTCGGACGGACGGAAGGACGAACAAGAAGACGGACAGGCTAAACATATAGACACGTGCCTGCTTCTCCGTTCGAGCTGAGCAAAGCTGCATCATGGACTCGGCCTTCGTAGCACTTGCTGCGGATCTGTGACAGAGCAACAACTGCTCCAGGTGCTACTGAGTTACGTCCGTCTTCTCCCCCACCTCGCGTACGCGCGACGTAATTAGGATGGACGCTAGGAAGTGTTGAATACTTGGCAAGGCTTTTGACAGATGCGAAGGAACATGCAACCGAGCTGCTGGTTGATGGTCTCGGGCGCGGCGAGATCAGACTCACGGAGATGTCGCTGGCGCTGTCAGGTCGAACAACATCTGGTGCCCCATCAACGCCTGGAGAATGCAAACATGTTATGTAACATTGTCGGTTTAGACGATGACCAACCTGAGATGACATCTGAGTGCACCACTGAGAGCACCCTTCTTCCTAGAAGCAAAGGGCAAAACGACTTGACGTGCTGGCATGCCCAGAACAAGGCTCGACTCCTGCCTTCCAGTCCCACGAAGGTCTTCGGAAATTCTTGGCAAGCCGGTGGGGACAGCCCCGTGAACTGACTGGACCCGTCGTTTGCCTGAACACAAGCAACTTCGTGCACTCAGTTAAAAATTAGTTGAACCAAGCAATCTGCAGCATCGACAGGGTTGCTGGCCGAGCTGTTTCTGAAGTCACATGTCACGACAGGCTCTCGACAGGCTTCGCTCATCTAGGCTGTAGCTTTTAAAAACCATTCCGGATGATGTCTCGTCTCAGCCTGCTCAGTGCTTGAGGCGGCTTGGCCTTCTTGCAATTGTCTCATTGCCCCGCCCAAATAACTGAATACATGTAAGTATGCGAAACCGGGAAACTAAGAGGCACTTTCGTGCCCCAATTTCCGTGACTTTCGACCGAATCTCTGCGAGGTATCAAGTTTCCGCGGAGTCCTTCGTCGTCTCCAGCACCCTCCTTTTACCACCGGCAACCTGGGCAACCGAGTAAGGAGGAAATTCACCAGGGAGACGGGAAATCAGATGATGGAGGCGCAGGATTGAAATCGATGCTTCCAGCTCGTAGTCAAATGCTGTCTTTGCCACCGCTCTGTGCTTTCTTTTGTACCCGGAGAAGCTCATCAGGAAGCTTGAGCTGCGACGTACGGGCAAGATGATCTCCATCGAAGCTTGGCTTTCCATGCATGAATGTAGTGGTTGCAAGAGTGCCGAAACTTGAGGGAAGCCGTTGGCTACCGATGACAGCCATCCCAGGAGAGAGGTCATCTGTCCCCGCCTTGCTCAAATGACTGGAGACAGGGGACAAAGGGTGTCCAATTTCCTTTGACGCCAGGCCGTCACGTTGACATAACTCTCTCCTTGACCCAGAATGGCATACATGAAAGGCGGTAATGTTTCAAGGCCACACCTACAATTGAATGTGGGCATAGCAGGCCCCGCAGGCTGATTCGGACTGCTCAATCTTGCACCGTCTGCACAGGAGGCAGGTCTTGCATCCGCGACAACCGAGCGCTGTCCGCTGACATCCCTCCCCCCCCGCCCCACATGCCGAGATGTGTCGAGGATCCCCTGGACGAGAGCACTGACTGTGACTTGTGAGGGGCGGAGAACATCCCCCTTGGATTGCCGTTCGACGCTTGTGCAGTCTTGCCAAAGGCTGCCACTCCAAAAGATGCAAGCGGCACCATCAGGAATTTTGGCACTCCGATTCGGAGGTTCAGAGATGTCTGGTTCTTCTCCTCATTGAGACCATCCGCACATGCACGGTGTCTTGAGCCAACGCAGAGCTCTCTACCCAAAGAGAAGACCACTTTCATGCACGTTCGCGGTGGTCACGGTGGGCGGAGCTAGTGCTTGGTTCGGCGATCTGTTGTGATTCAACTAGGGAAACTCGTACTCTGTGTCGCATGGTCCCGTCAACTACATCCGCTACCCATCTGAGCGATCTCCAGATCAAAGCCGACAGCCCGTGAGATGCGACACATGGCCCCCTGAGGCGGTTCACGAAACTTTGCGATTGACTTGCTTTTCATCTTCGCGGTCTACCTTTCGTGCCGGTTCGGTTGGGAAGAGGCTCTTCTGCTATTCCGTCGATCCGATCCAGGAAGCCTGTGATGAAGGGACCTGATCTTGTCTTCTGGCAGTCTAGGAATTGTGCTTTGTGCGGGGTCATGCATAGACCGACGTCCTGAGCCCCTTGAAGCTGGGTTACAGCGACTGCGGCAGCCGACCCTTCCAGCCAATTGCGTTGGCCTGCTGGTATCACTGAGCAGGATGGACACGCTGGCCGAACTCGGGACCTCTGACCAGCACTTGTGCTGAAGATCCCGAACCTGGAGCCAGCAGGGTTGCCCCCTCCTCATCTTCTGATGTTACAAGCCAAGCCCGGAATTGGTGACATCATCGAGGATGCTGGTTGGCACTTGGTCGCGCACACACGACGTTTCCTTCAGCTTGGTTCTGCAAGGTGTGTTTCATCCCTGCTGTCGTCGTCGCAGAAGGAGAGCGACTGCAGTCTTCCTCTGCAGTCGCTCGAAGATTCGCATCGACAGGGCAGTAAGGCAAAAAACAACCTGAGAAAAACACAAAGTGCAGCCCCACCCGGCATGAACGTCCAATCCACACGCGTCGGGTTCCACGGCTACGTCTCGACCCTCAACAGCATCCGCGAGAGGAGGTACTGTCATGTTCATGCAGCCTTGGCCGTATGACAACAGGCCTGACTGCATGTGCAAGCACACACGCTCATGCATGACGACCATCACGTTTCCGTTTTGTGCTGCGGTGCCTGAACCCTCGTCCTTGCTGCGGAGAGAACCTGTCAGCATGCAGCAATGCATCGACAGGCTAATCGGACAAAATTCTGACAGCCGCCTCGAGAGAGATACGAATCTCCTCGACACGACTGAGAAGCAAGCTTGCACCACATTTCGACACGCCCCCTTCTCAACAGTGAAGTTCAGAAGATGCCAATGTATCCAGGCACTGCTCCTGAGATCAAGTCGCTCGGCGTGCCTGAGTGCAGCAAATTGCATCAGCAAGCCTTGCAAACCGTTGCCAACTCACCACCGTCAGTGCGTTGACGTTCGGGAAACTCGCACGCAACATTGAATGACTTAAGATTCAGCAGGCCTGCACGCCCGCGAGGAGTATCACCAGCAGAGGCCACCCCGGGCCTTCCTGACACCAGAGCAGCCTACACATTGAGCCGATGAAAACGACCAAGGATTCTTGTGCTTCCTCCGCACGAAGAGGAAACACTGTCTCACATCCAGGAAGGAAGTGATGCAGCCTCTCGATCTTTGTCACTTGCGGACAAGATGCCTCTATCTTTCGGTCTTGGCTTCGTGGGAGGTGTTGGAACCAAAGGGCTGCCTGTGAACGAAATCTGCTCTTTGCTTTCTGCCCCGTAGACTCAGGCTTGTCTGCAATCAGTGACCTTCTTGCCCTGTTTCTCCATAGGCATGCAAGACTGCAGGCATGAGCTGCAATGTTCACTGAAGGACGACTGCAAGGTCACGCTTCCAAACAGGTTTCGGCCCTCCCTGCCTGATTTTGCAAGATCCACAGCTCCTAGAGTCACCTGGGCAGTCTGTCAGACAAGCGCTCGCCTACTGACACGAAGTCGCCCACAATTGAACTGCTTTGAACGAGCTCTGCCACAGTCTCTCAAACACACACACACACAGAGACTGGCAACCAGAGGATTAAGGACAAAGAGCCGTGTCTCAAGAAAGCATCCCTGGCCCACTGCCGGCGACTAGACTTTCAATATCTTTCAATGCAGCTGAGCTCTGTGCCGCCTTCTTTTTCTTCGAAAAGAGCCATGACATATCGCTCTAGTTCTGGAGAGCTGGCGTCCTCACCTATATGCCGTGGTCTGATGTGATGTTTCGGTCAGTCTTCAATCTGAGATGCACGAAGTTGTGCCCTGACGAGCCAGGCAAGACGGCAGCATCGCTGCATCTCCGAGTCTGCAAAGGGCTCTTTGCACGGATGGTCTTGAACACGTTTTCGGCTGCTCCAGTCCACCGACTCGCGGGACACCGTAACTAGGTCCTGTGGCCGGCTGGAGATCCTGAGGATCGAGAATCCATAAGACAAAATCTTCCTAGTGTGGGAAATTCCCAACTATAAAATGAATGTTGACACTGCTGAGCCCTCTTTGGAGCCCTCCCAGAGCTCCACTACCAGGCAACCATCTGACACTCATGGCCCACCTGCGGACCCCCTAAGGTCGGCTCAGACGTTCGCAGACGCTGCTAGGGAGGGTCTGGCGGACGGATCCGCAAGTGTGCATGAGTCAAGCGGCATCCTGCGGAACTCAGGGAGCGAGTCCCAAGACGAAATGCACGGCACATCTAACTGCTGCTTCCTCTAAGCTCTAGGTTGCTGTACAAATCGTCTTGGCCACAAGTGCCAATGCCAGACATTGAAGGCACTGGCATGACTCGGGCACCTTCTGGCCAGTCTCTGCCCAGAAAGGCCGTTCTCATGCCGAATGACTCCAACCGGCTGATTCAGAACTGGAGCAGAGTCGGATCATTCGAACTCCTGCGCAACTCTAAGACCGCAAGAGACCGACTTCTTTCGTTCTGACAGCATTCCCGCCTCCTCTACCACTCCAAAACGAATGACAGGATCGTTGTTTAGTCTCCGGGGCCTTCCGACTCGGCCGGTCTGAAGTCCGCCAGAACCATCCCGGCAAGACTGCGTGAGCCCGTGAACTTTAAGCTCCTGGCCCATAGCGTGCGCTCGCTCGGGGGATCGGCATGTCCAGGAGCACGGGCTGTGCGGAGCCAGTCTTGAGCTCACGAAAACACACTGGACCACTTCGGCCTCATCCAGCCCGCGACCCCTGAGCCGGAGGAGCAGGAGATAGCAGGAGCAGCTTGCAGAGTCACTCCGGAGCCCAGCCTTGAGTCCACCGCAGTGCAGACTGGACGCCAGGGAGGAAATTCACAAAGTATGGCACGACCTCATGCAATGCGGCGCTTCTAGCCCTTGTTGTGGTGCTCTTTTGTCTGGAATGATGCAGCATATATGAAAGCCTCAAAATGCAGACAAAACCCGGGCCTTCCATCGACAAGTCTTTCAAATGCTTTCTGGCGAGGTACGCTTCCTGCCGATGCCCGAGTGCCAAGTGCCTCTTGCTGTATTGTGCGCCAAGACTGTTGGCCTCGAAGCATGCAAAGCGCAGGACCTTGAAAAGAATGGCAGAGCTGTTGCACAGCAGAAAGTGAATGTCTTTCAAGTCAAACTGAGAGACGCACCAGTGCGGTGCCATGTCCCGCCCATGTAGGGTTCGACGAGTTCTCAGGACAAATCGCGACACGGACGCGCACTTGCAGGACATCTTGTGAGCTTTCCGTTAAGTCCGTGCAAATGATGGGTTCTTGGTGATCCCGTCTGAGTTCCCTCCTCATGACAACATATGCCGCATGACGTTGGGGTTTGCGTCAAAGCGCATTGTCAAGAACCTCTCAGCTTCACATTCTTTCACGTGTGCCTCTGGCTTGACCATGCTCGACGAACGCGAGACTTCACCATGTTGCACCCAGTCCGAACTTGGGAAGCCTGGAGCTCAGACATCTGGCTGGCGGAGCTATCACCTTGAGCGGACCCGGAAATGCAAGCATCGTAACCGCGAGTCTCTCCCAAAGCGAAAGCCGAGGTCCCCACCGTCTTCGTGAGTGACTGTGCCCTGAGCCATTGACACTCGCCAGTATTTTCAGCTCGCCCCAAACTTCCCTTCAACTTCGGGGTTCTTGCATCCTTGCCCTCGACAATGAAGCGCTGCAAGATGCTCGGTGTCTGAGCCTTTGATGCAGCTTGCTACAGTCCTGGAGTCCTAGAGGCCAAGGTCTAAGCTCCCAGCGAAAGCTGCGCAATTGAGCAGCTCGAGCCGACATTTCTTCCCATTCGCAGACAGTCCAGCTGCCACGTGCCCAAGGACCTACAAGAAATCTACACTGTTGTAGCCGGTCAGACGGGGTCGAGAAGGGCCTCACTCGGCTGCAACCGTGGCAGATCGCGCAGAATGAGCGATCTCTTCCAACCTGTCTGTGCAGGGCGACCCGCGTGTGGAGCTGTGCGAAGCTTTCTGAGTCTCCGACGGGCATCCTGGGGGAAGGCTGGGCGAGCTACAACGCTGTCCTTCCATTTCGTCCTGCGATGAAACGCTGGATCGAGCTGTGTACCGACTAGAGGTATGAACCTTTCCCTGCATGTCCATGTAGAGACCCCTTAGCCTAGTTCAGGTTGCTGGTGCCCTGCAGACCACCTGTCTCGAACAAGGCAATCACGTGATCGCAATCACAAGCAAAAAACTCGTCGTGCGACTTTGAAGCTGTGTCCTCTTCTTGAGTAGCAGCACCTGTCATTTAAAGAAGATGCACAATTCGTAATTTCACCACCTCGTGACTACGTCCCATCTCGCGTTGAAGCTGCGTGCACTTCTTGAGGGTGCAGCGCAAGGTCTATTCTTCGGGCGTCTCTTCAAGAAGTGACATAGCAAAATAACCTCCCTCGCATTCACCTGTGCAGCTCAGACCTCCCAATTCATGGCCTGCATCTCCCGAGCACCCAAGTGGTTCAAGTATGTTAAGGTGCAGCTTCAACAAACATGGCGAGCCAAGGTCTGGAGCCTGGCATCTTACACTTACGCAGAGTAATGTCGTAGGGAGCGGATCGAGCGGCAACACCAGGATTCACGTGATTCACGTGTGAGTCGTCGAAAACCAGGTGGCGGATGTGGCGGGTTTTACTGCACTTCTCGGAGCTAAAACTGAACATGGAATCGCTCTGCGCCTCCTTCAGCAAGATCCCGTTCAATCGTGGCCTCGAGGCGTGGCATGGAACCAAGGCGACTGCCTGTGTTCTCTGACAGCGCATGACTCGAACTCTCAGCCCTCGTAGGCTCAGTGCAGCTTCCTTGTAGCGCGGCGCTTGGCACTCGGATCGTGAAATTGCACAATGGCGTAGCGCCTTAGCCGGCTCCAGCACTTGGGACTGAGAACACGAGTCAAAGCAGCCGTGTGGGATGCCGGCAAAGTATACGGTGAGGCAGCTTTGCTCACATTGGTGGCGGTATCCTGAAAAACCAAGGCAGGACCCGGTAGCCAGGAGAGTCGGGCATAGGCACAGGTTTGGGTGAACCATGTTTCGGGCAAGTTCCTTTGACAATCTATGGCTAGCTTACGGATGAACCAAACTCAATGGAGGCAACAAGCAGCCTGGGCACACAAGCTTAGGTGTCACCCCGAGAAACTTCTGCGTAGAGCGGTAGAGGTGCGAAGCACGAGACCCGAAATTTGCTCGCCTCCGTCATCGCTTCACTGGCGAGGCCGCCGTCGGGTCTGATCCGCATGGCACTCACGATTGCAAAATAACCATGACAGTAAGCAAGATGCAAGCAGTGGGGTGCCTGCGGATGGACTCCATCCAGTCTTCCATGCCGTCGCCTGCTCATCTCTACTGGCTCTATGTCAACATTCATGATGGAAAGACTTAGAGAGAGATGATACGATACAAAGTCATCATTCTTGAGGCAGTGGCACATTTCCAAGTCTTGGACTTCTCCACAGCCGGTGGAAAGAGCTGCACGAATATCAGACTCCTGCTAACAGAATGCACCTGCAATTGGTCAGCGAAATGCAGCGATTGACCTTGCTGAGCTGCCCACAGTTGCGGTAAGCGGCAGGTTGCTGAGCAAGATGCTTTTCGATGCGTTTGGCATGTGAGCTGGCCTTGCGACTGTGAGAAGTATAGCGTGTAGTCTTGCACGCTCTTGACGACTTGCTTGGGCACAGACTTGTCGGCCAGGTGAGTCCAGGAAACCTCCCGTGCCAGAAGCAGTGCTGGGAGTGTTGGGAGTGTTGCGAGTGTCTAGACATCCGGTGCTTCAATTTACATGGGCCATTGCAAACAACTATGCGACGCGGTGAAACTTAAGATCCTCAAACTCGCACACATTTCGCAAGAGAAGATCAAAAACGCCACTTCCAATCATGGAAGGCAGTTGTTCCGAATCTATTCCTGTACACTACGGAAAACACAGAGCGCACACGCGAAAGCTCAACGCTTCACAAGCCTCACTTGAGCAAGGCCTGGTACATATTTTGCAAGGTAACATCTTTGTCAAGTTGCTCACGATATTTGTGTATAAAGGAGGCAATGCTGTCGACGATAGCATGCTGTGTTTCGACACGGCTCTTAGCCTGTCCCTGGTGCTCAGTGCGGATATCTTTGGTGACATCCCGCACTTGCTTCTCGAGTTGGTACTGGCTCTTCGCGATCTGCTGCTGCATTGCATCTGCCCATCGCTCATAAGTCATCAGTTGCTGCTCACGCTCAAACTTCTCTTCGTCTATGAGCTTGTTGATCTCCACAACCTCATCCTCCAGAATCTTCTCCTGCGGCATGCCAACGCTGCTGTGCTACTCTTCTGCTAGTGTTTCACCACCATAAGCATGTACTCGTCTACAAGACCCTCGTGATTCAACTGAGGCGGGTTCCCGCTTGTGATCTTGCAGCTGCCTTTCCCGGGTCTCAGCTGCTAAGGCATCGAAGAGCCGTTGTGACTCATCCCGGATTGGGCCGAGGGTAGACTCGATATGCCGCTTGCGGTCCTCTCGCTGCTGTACGAGAGCCGCCTGAAACAACACGGCGGAAGCAGACGCCTTAACGGTGCCAGGAAGCAAGTGGGACAGTTCTGTCTGCCTCAGCATCAGTCATACGCACTCCCAGCTCATCCACCACGGAATTCATCCTGGCAAAAGCCTGAGCATAGACTTGCAATGTGCATTTTCTTGTGCATGCAGAACACCGGCCTCGGTCAAATCGCGGCGAAGACCCCGCTCTGCACCAGCGAGCTCGTGGTCGAACTTTGCCTCGGATAAGGTCGGCCAGCGCTTTTTAAACCTAGAGCCTGACTGAGGAATGCGACGTGAAGACCCAAATTAGCGGTGTGTGGGCGGTTGGTGAAAAACACCCGGCCGCCAACAAGGCCGGAGTTGGAGCATGTTGTCGGAAGGCCAACTTTTCGACGCGTCCCATCCCAGTTTCGGATGCGTGGACGTGTCCACATACGAAACGTTCGCAGCGAATTAGCCAGCAACAACTGCTACGTGAGGATACCTGCAAGGCATCGACCGGTTTGTCCAGTCGGACATTTTGTTTGGATGACCGTAACATCTCCGTCTTCGGCCGTATGAGGCGCCTGTTCCTGACAGCGGCACGGAATAGAAGATGACAGCATGGCCCACGGGCGCGTCTTTGAACTTGCTTCTGAGAGATCTGCTCTGAATCAAGTCCAGGATCGCCCCTGCCCGTAAATTCCTGTCCAGAGTATACCAACAAGCACAAAGCAGCTGTCCGGCTTCTCCGTGCTCGTTATCTGATATGCTTGTGCGAAGCTGCTGATTGTCGCTGATGAAGTAGAATGTTGAGCGGTTGCCAGTGATTACGAAGCCTTCCCAGGGGGCTACGGGAACAGGATGTAGAATTTTGGATCGCAATGCTTCTTGTCAAAAGTAGGAAATGGATCACTTATGACCTCCATTGTAGCTCACGTTGTGCTGTGGTCGTTGACGAACGAGATGCCCATTTCTCTTACACCAAGGAGCAACGAGCACTCAGTATAGCTTCCACATCATGCCAATGTGGTGACGAGCGATGGCATTCACGCTAAGTGGGTTTGGATCATGAACGTCCCTGGACAGAAAACAGGAACTCCCATTCGGACTCAAAGACTGGGAACGAGGCTGCACATGGTCTGTTTGCATGCGGCAAAGACCAGCCAGGCCACTGTGTAGGACTTCGTCGTGTCCATAACATGTTTCTTCTTCTGCTGCATATGAGCCCGGCATTTCTTGATCTGCCGCAGCGTTTCTTCCAGCATCTCATTGAGCCTCTTTTGGTGAGCATCTCTGTTCTTCTGCGCCTGAAGCATAGTTAGCCGAAAGATCCTATCTGCGCATGCGCAGAAAGATGCTGGTTTGCCATTCTAAAACTGCTGCTCTTCAAGACGACCCAGAGCCTGCTCAAACACGGCGGGAGTTCGGGTCACCTCCTCTGAGAGGAAGAAGAGCAGCTTCTCCTGCCAAGTTGTGACCGGTCTGCTGAAGACATCTGTCAACGATCACATTGTTGTGCTAGGCCTACGACCTATGAGATGGAAATGCAAGTAGTCCTGGTTATTGTTGAAGACTCTGGTTCGCCTTCGAAGGTCACCGGAAATCCATGACGCGTCTTCTTCCATGGCAGCTATCTTGCAGAGCAGCGCTCAACAAGCGCTAGCACATCGCTTGAAATCAAGTGGCTGCGACAATGGCATGTTGTCTGTTTGTCCCGCTGCAAAGCACGATTGCTTCTTCTTTAAAATCATTCTCGTTTGCAAATAGCAATTGCTCTCTCAGTTTGATGCGCCTGCACGTCCATAACCCGACGCTCATGCAAAGGTCGCTCCTGTCATTGATCACTAACTAGGTTCATGATGCTTCGACCTTTCCATTGATGAGTTTCAGGGAAGCGACCTCCGTTCCTTGCAGCGGTCGTTGCTGCTGCATGCTCATCATCCGCAACCTGGCCGGCCCAGAAGCTAGTTTGAAGACCTTGCATCGACACCCGCACAGCCTCTGAACAGCATGTCAGCGATGCTTTATAAACGCAACACACATCTTGAATCCTTCTGCCAGGAAATTAATGCTGAATGCATTTGTTACATTGACATAAACTTGCCCGAGCAGCATATCCGAGTACCCAGAAGTACCTTTGTCATGCTGTCGGGCTCTGCACATATGCTGTGAAAGGATGACAGCACGATTTGCCTCCATGTTCGCCCATGTCCATCTCGAGGTCACCATCCTGGCCATCTGCAGGGCCATTGCTATGCAGACTTGGAACTCGCGACAACATGTAGTAAAGAACACCGCCTGACTCAGCGCATCATAAAGATTGGCCTGGAACACATTGAGCATAAAGGCACAACTTTTGGCTCTCTGCCCTCGACCTGCATCTCCTCCACATTTAGATGGTGTGCATCCACGACAGAACTCAGTGTTCCCGGACTCAGATGCTTCTCCAAGATCTTCCCTCAGCAATCGTGCAAAGTACGTTTGGGGCCACGGAGTCGCAGTTACACTCAGAAAGCAGTACCAGGTGGCAAGGAAATGTTATTCCAGCGGCAGCCAGGCTCAGACAACTCTACAAGTGACCCTTTGAAGTTCCGCCCGGACATAAGAATGCACATAATCCATCACTCTTGAATTTCTCAGTCATCCTCTCTGACAGAAGGTTTGGGCGACAGGCACTGTCGAAAGAGGGTTCGGATCGTCGACGTAACCCAACATCCTAAACCCCAAAACCCAAACAAAATCCTAAACCCCGTTCGGGATTTCAATTAGGGATCAGGATTCAAGACGACTCGGATCGGGAAGTGTGCGTGCTTACAGGCTCGCAGGACGGTCTGGGTTCTAGCGGAACTACAGCCCTACTAATTATCTACCGAAAATATAAGCCCGCATGATTCTCCACGAAGAAACATGGGGCCTGAATGATTAAACTTGACTACATGTACCAGTGCAGAGAACCGGTCCCACAAGTTGGGTGCCGCATGGGGTAAATGACCTAAAACGTTGGATCGATTATTCGACTGAAAGACTGGCGTACAGCCGTCCTCATTTTGCACATCTTCTGTACGGAAACTCGCATCCGGTAGCGCAGGGTTACTGCACTGGCTCCCGCGACTGCATGGCTTTCTTGCGCCCGCAGCTCCGCATCTCATTGTCGTGAGTCCCTCCATAGTTCTCTGCTGATACATTGAATCGCTCGGAAAAGTTCCTCTGGCAAATATGACAACTCGGACGGCCAATGCAGAAAGGCTGCGAAGTTTCGCTCTGAAGCGATTGAGGTCCTGATCCTCGCGGACTTGCCTCTCCATATGCATGTTCTGCATCTGTATGTCACTGCTTTCTCTGCAGAACAAAGGTCCGCAGAACAACAAACATGCCAGAATCACCTCGCAAGAGAAGCTGAAAGAGCTTGATGGCCCTGACTGGCAAAGAAGTCGCACACCACTTGATAAAGCTCCTCCAGAAGCCACCAGTTCGTCAGCTCGGTACACTTCTTAACTGCAAGGCCAGTCCCTTCAAGGCCGGCAGATCTGATATGAACCACGCAGAATCCTCCATCACCTTGGCTCGGCCGGAGTGCAGCAAATGCACGATAACGTCCTTCAGCGCGAATGTTAACAAGCCATCCCAGTCCAGCAGTCCGGCCATGCACCGGAAATGAGCGCGGCGTCCCTTCAAGATGGATTAGTTTACAAATGCTTAAAGATGTTACAATGCGAAACATCGCAAACCCAACATTGAAGCAATTTACGCCAAGCGAATCCACCACCTTAAAACTAGAGCGAGACGAGCCGTGTCCTGGAATGCGTCACACTTCTGTCTTTCCTGTTGGGCAGAACATCGGTTCTGTTTGCCCGCTGCATGCACCATCTGATCTCTGGCGCTCCTTTGGTCGAGGCTGCGAAGCTGGAGAGGACCTGAAGCCTCACACGTGTATACATAAGGCCAAACACACAGAAACTGGACCGGTGCCCGGCGTCGAGAGCAGCTAGAGGGGCATGGCTCAGCAAACAGCCTCACACCACGCGACACAAATGGAAGTTATTGTATTACACAATTTTTTGAATTGAAGTATCGACTTCGGATGCACGATGTTCCAAGCCCAGGCACATCTCCCAACGCGGGCACTGTGGGGTGCGAAACTGCTCCGGAAACCAGCGCCTGGCTTCACAGGATTTCAATGCCAAAGGTTTAGGCCATGCAGTCGGGCATTGTCGGGCAGCTCGAAGCAGCTCGAAGGAGTGCAGAACAGGCTGCAGTTCGAAAATGGAAGAACTGTTGCAATCAACGGAACATCGTCACATGATGGTTACGGAAACACAGAAATCTGACAAAGCGCTGAATTGACATCACACGGCACTCAAAGAGTGAGACATCCCGGGGCACGCATATTTTGCTTGAGCGTTCGAAACAACTGCACAGTGTCTTTTTGGAGCTGTATCGGAGATTCGATGTCTTACAGAACCCATTGGCCCATCTTAATTTCGGAGAACGGACCGATTCTCACATGAGCGGTTCGTATAGACGAGAAACACCAGAAGATCGAAGCTTTGGCCCAAATGGCCAAAGATGTATCCAGGGAGTGCTATCGGCCGGTGTTGGATGTCCCGAAGACAAGAGCACTCAGGCTGGTGTGCCATTCTTCAGCATTTCAGCCTCGGAATTCGTTGAGATCTTTGCCGGCATTGGTGCGTCCCGCGTGCGTGACCTCTTCGAACAGGCCGGATGATGCAGATAGTGCAAGTCTTCTTCAACACATCCGTTGTCAGCTTGTGCTTCAAGCCGCAGGCCAAGAAGTCTGCACCATGCATCATCTTCATTGATGAAATCGATGCAGTGGGCCGCCAGCGGAGCGCTGGCTTCGGCCAAGGAGATGGTCACGAGGGTTCGTGTGTCCGGAATAGTTGCCGCGAATGTGCTGCAGGCAACGATGAGCGTGAGCAGACGGTGAATCAGTTGCTGACAGAGATGGACGGCTCCTTTTCTTTGACAATGTAAGCTCTCTTGTTTTGACCTTTCTACTGGGTGGGCCTGGGCAGGGCCGGTGTTTTTGGGTGGTCGTGCCGTTGCATCTGCAGTCTTCTTCACCTTGTCGGGTTTGCAGCTTGCGGTCGCTGCCCATTTGTTCAACACTGATGCCGTGGCTAATGATGGCCACTAGCTGTCACTGGATTGATGTGCGGCAGCGGCAGGACATTTGAGTCCACCAGCCCGAATCGAAGACGTAAGTGAGCAGAGGCTGACCCTTCGCCAGTGGGGCCGTAGTCCTTTTAGTCGATTGCCGAGTTGAACTCCTGTGGTTGCATCGAAAATCAGCCATCATAATCAGGCCGAGAAACCTGTCGGAGTGTGGCGTGCATGGAGCCAGACATGCACACATGCACGGTCGGCCCCTCGACGATGTCTTCTAGTCGAAACGCGATCGGCTCATCGAAGGTGTCGCCGTGGATACTTGAACCACGACAAAAAAGTTGTTGGTACATCGCAATCTCATAAGATGGTGCCACTGTTCGGTTTCCTTGCTGACATCTGCCACCTGTTGAAGAGTGTCGTGGCTGGGGTCGCCACCGGCAAACAAACAACCAAACAAGGGAAGGAAAGTCTCGAGGTAATTGAAGCTTGAGACTTTACATGACAAGCACGACACGTTTCTGGCCTTTGCAGCGGCTTGCAGGCCATGTTGACCACATTTCGAGCTGCGGTCATGCAATCGTCCTATGCTTGGCTCAAGGTTGTGTGTCCAGGTAGGCTATCGTGGTGGGAGATAGGTCATGGGAGCATCACAGAAGTGGGAGTCGGCTCCGATAGTTGCAACTTCTAGTCTATGACAGGACTATCTAGTTGGGGTCATAAGGCATGTGTTTCGTTCAACGTGCATGAGTCTGCCTTGATGCTCCTTCGGAGCTGACACCAAACTCTCCGGCCCTGCCCGGGTAGTCCCTGACGATTCCTCCGCACAACACTGGACCTGTAGACTCTGCAAGCAGCACCCATGCTTGTGCTTCGCATAGCGAACCGCACGTTTCCTTGCCACTTGGATTTCCAAGAGGCAAGCCTCTAAGTGTGAGACATGTGGTGAGCACTGCTTGCATCCTTCCCTGCTTGAAAAGGAGCTCTTCACCAGAAAGGGACTGTCGTAGTCAGCCGGCCTCTCCCGTGCGATCTGACTCCTGCATAACCAACCGGAAGTGTTTATCCCAATGGCAATCAAAATGCAACAAATCTGAAAGCCCCGACAATCCAGTGATGGCCAACAAAGGCGCGCCTCCGCGGCTTGCTGCTCGAAGGGCACTTAGCAATCAGTTGCAATACCGAGGTGATGCAAAAATGTTGCCGCACATCCACCCTCGGGAATCTACCCTGTCTACCATAGATTTGCTGCGTTCTGTTCTGCCCTTCTGGCCGGCAGAGGGCAAACAGTTTCAAGGCCATGTTATGTCTATTGCTGTTGGGAGGAGGCTTTGAAGCGGCATTCTTCTGCACGACCCACCCTAGGTTGCCACTTCCCTTTGTTTTCCACTGAGCATCCCACAAGCCCGTGATGCCCGTGACATGTTGGGGGCAACTCAACCAACTCCGGAGAATGCCCTCTTGGTGGCTGACATGGCGCCAATCCACGCCGTCCGGTTGGAAAGATGTCTGGCCAGCTGGGGTCATGCATATCCCAGCCACCTTCCAGCCCAAAGTCAAGAGCCGTAAGCATGCCGATAGGAAGTTGGAGAACCGTCAAGTGAGTGGAGGTGCTTCCGCAAGCCTCGAGGAACGGGAAGGAAGCTTTTCGGATCGAAAACGAACCTGCGAGAAAAGATGCAGCGCATTGCGTAGCCATGAGGCATGCCTTGACCAATTTCGAACCCTTGCAGGTGAAAGGAAGTGCTCACAACCGGGAGCTCAGGAGAGCTCCTCTCAACTCCTGCACCTACCATTGGATGAGCCGTTGTCCATTGAGGATGAGCCTTCGCTCTGGGAGAGTCTTCCATGCCATCTCATACCTTGCAAACTTCTAGGGCTTCGAAGCACTATAGCGGCTACAGGACTGCTGCTCTAAGCATCCGACTGGCGAGGCTTCTTCCTCATCGCAGTCATTGGAGGTGCTTTCATCACCTCAAAGGCTGCATCCACTACAACTGCAATTGCCGCAACTGTTGCGGCCGCATGACAAAGCGGCCCTGATAGGCGCTTCATCTACATGCGCATGCTGCTGGGCTGCCTCTCCAGCAAAGAGTATGCTCTGAAGCGACAAAGACTTTGATCGTAGCGGAGCCTCACCAAGCACCGCAACAACACTATCAACACTGGAATTGTCGGCGATCGTGTCCAAAACGACCAAAAATCAAAAGGAAAGGTTGCACCTTTTGCATTGTCGCGTCATCCGCGGCTTTTGGACGAGTGCCATATACGCACAGTCGCAAACTGAAATCCCTTGCCCAGATGATCCCAGGCGATCGCCTGTGTTCGGCCGACGAGAAAGCCGTTCCTGTGGCGAAGCTCGCGAAGTGCGACAGTCACCCAGACTGCTGTCTTGGCACTGTCGTCTTGAAGATGCACGCATTTGCAAGTTTTAGTCGCGAATCCGCATCCGGTCCTTCGGTACACCTCGCGACTGACCTGCACACAGAGGGTTTGACAAGAGTAGTGCAAACTCAGCTGGCGCCAGCAAATGTACATGGCAAGACTGACTGCACGACTAGAATAAGCAGTGAGGGCAGCTGAGCTGTGAGTTGCACATGGAGTACAGAGTAAAGTGCTGTACTGCGCCTGCGAGCAGCTGGCTGCGCTAAGCGATGACTCAGACCAGTCTCGCCGCGAGTCCTTAACTAAACACAGATGCGACAGCTGCTGCTCGGACGGCCGCACGTTTTGCTCGCATCTCATGGCTGCACTGTCACCACGTGATCTTTTGACGGCCAGTCGTGCTGCTCACATCTCACAGCTGCACTGCCACCAAGCCATCTTGCTGAATCAAGGTACCGTGGCATGAGGTCACTGCCTGCAGCGCCAGATCTAGCATTCGATTGTAGAGCATCGGCAAGAACCGCTGAACAACGAGCGTTGTGTCGTTGCAAGGTATGGCTGCAGATGGCAATAACCTTCGACCCAAAGTGAACACGCTTCCAACTCCAGCAAAGGCTTCCAAGTCTGCGTTGCAAGCGGGGCTCCCGAACACAGGTTCAGAGACAACACGTGAGCGGCTCGGGGAGAAAGAACAATGCCGTGCTTCTGCCAAATCAACAGCTGCAACATTGAAGCCGCGCAGATGCAGGAAAAGCCTCCAGTCCACGGCAAACGACCGCTCGAGCTCGCGTCCGAGGAGAGTGCTGACCAAGCTCCCAGGCTCCACCAGCTTCGCGCCGACAACCTGCTGCAAGTATAGAGCATTGCCCGCTTCCCAAGGAACCATGCCAAGCAGGCATGCATGCATTGCAGCCAGTCGGAAGGCATCTGCGTCGCCCACGGTGTCAGGCAGAGCCGCAAGGGCGCGGGTCTTGGCCTCGTCACCAACTGGCTCGACATGGAGGAGAAACTGTTTCTTATCGCCTCGGTGCTGCAATGCAAGCAGCTCCCCAGCCGTGAGACCACCACTGCGAGTAATGGTAACATCTGCCCGGCCGAGAAGCTCTGCTGCTCGCTGACCAGTGAAGGGCACGAGAATGGTACCATTGGCTGGGCTGCTGCTTATCAAAGCAACCATATCTGCAAAGAGCTGTTTGTATGCAGCAGTCGTCGGGCGTCCACATGCCAGGAAAATGTATCGTCGGGACCCAGTTGGTACGGGCAGCTTCAGGCTCTCCATTGCGTACTTTAACATGGCATCCACAGTCGGCTGTGAGCCCAACATCACCAACACCACCTGATCTTCAGCGTCCAGAATCACTGGGTTTGTGACCGGGCCAGTCCCATCAAGGAATTCTTCCTCTAGGGGTATCTGCGCCTTGAGTCGTATTGCAACGGCTTGACCTGGTGACGGGAGACCCCCTGGCCGAATGAAGCTATCTTCAATCGGCATGAACTTCTCAAGCATGATCTGCCGCCCCGGCAAGCCTGACATATTTTGCAGCACCTCCTCCCCACCACGCATTGGGGCGAGTGTGTGCAAGAACAGGTTCGAGACTTTGTCCTTGGGCAGGCTATCCAAGGCACCGAAGAAGTGGACAGCCTGCCATCGGAGCCGCAGGGGTGGAGACGGTTTGCTGCTGAGACCAGATGGTCTCTGAAGTGCTTCTGATGGTCAGTGTAGCTTGCGACTTTCACATGGCCTTTATTTGGGCTTTGGCCTGACCGTCTTACAGAACCACACCACGTTCGCTTATAGGCGCGGGCGCAAACGCTTGTGCCGGCCACTCGTGCCCTGAGAGCTTGCAGAGTAATGGGTGTCAGTGTGTTCCTGTCACACAAGCTCAAAAAAAAACCTGGACTTTCAATTCTCACCGTTTTCGTGAGAAAAGGCATTCCAGCTAGGAGTGATTTCGAGACACGGAAACCAAGAATGCACCCGGTGGTAGAAAGAGAGGGAGAGAAGAGACCTTTAACCTTTGGTTCGCAGAAAGTTCGACACGGAACAGGCACTATGTCGGGCTATGAGTGAGACAGCGAGAGACACACGAAGGCGAGCGGGTAGAACCGAGAAACAATGAAGTACTGTAAGCACAGCTATGCACGATGAAATGCGTCGTTACGGCGTTTGCTATCCGGATACTGCTTGTGTCCATGGAATGTTGTCGAGATCGCGCAAAGCTTTGGAAGGACGGTAACTTGACCATGGCCGGATGAACCCCAAAACCTCAAAAGACAACAATAGAACCGGCAGGTTGGACGCTTCCCGCCTCCTCTGTGGGCAAGTCTGTCATGTAAAGATCTACTCCTCGGTCCATATAACCTTCGAGCAAGGACCGGACGAGTAGGGGCTGTGTGGAAATCAGTCTTTTCGGGGGCAGCCTGTAGCCCAGCTTCTTAGCTTCAACGACGGACTGTATAAACTTCCGGCACTGTTGACCAAATACCAGTTGTGTAAGAGGCTGCAGAGACACCAGCCTCCTCAGACCCTTGATGTCTCCTGAACTTTGCAGCTTGTTCCAGCTTTCGCTCATGAAGCCACCCAAGGGGATGTATCCATGTCCATCTAAGCTGGTGCAAGGGCTGTCCATGATGTCAAGCATTTCAACCGCAGGTGGGCCGTTCTGCACTGCGGACAACGCTGCTGTCGCGAGACGGTAGGCCTCGGGTGTAAGAAGCGGCCTGTGTTCCTGCAACTGCGCAGCAACTGTCTCATAACCGCCTTCAAGCCATTCGACTAACTTCTGCTGCAGGTTCCGCGCTGCCACCAAATGACCCCCACCCCCACTGCTCGTCACGACGAGAAGCCATGTCTGCAGACCTTCATTGAATAGATCGACTGCAAAAGCACACTTCTCCATCTGCTCATCCCCTGCTTTGATGCATGCGTCCGAAGCTTCTAACAGACGAGGTTGGCATGTAGCCGATAAGCATTCAAGGCCAAGCGCACAGAACTCAGAGCTGTCGCAGCTAGCACCACGCGGGCGGTTCGAGTTCGAGGCGCCAAACTCTGTGGTGATGTGTCGAAGCAACTCGGAGCTCTCAACCGCGGTCATGTCTTGCAAGGAATGCTTGTCTGGCCGAAAGAGTTGCCATTGCGCTCGAACTCTTGTGAATTCAAGATGCCGCAACTCATTTATCACCTCACAGCGCACACTGCGAGCTTGGCAAGTCTCTGCGGCACTGCTTAAGTTCCAGCTCTGCAAGCCTAAGGAAGGGTAATCCGAAACTGGATCATCATGTTCTGGAGGTTTCTGCGCTGTAATGCCTCCACTTCCAAAGTCCACAAGCCAGTCTGTTTCTGAAGTGTACAAAACTCTTGTCTCGAACTTCTCCAACGCCTGGCGATACATTCCACGGGAGATCTCGACCAAAATGCTTTTCTCAGGCACTTTCTCGCACAGCTCGTCCATAACTCCACGGTCTGTGCCCGAGATGTGGATCAAAGTGGGGAGCAGCTTAGAGTTGACAAAGCTCTCCACCCCTGCATGTGGCGAAAAAAGTGACACGAAAAGCCTGGGCCTGAGTGCCGCAGCAAGACTTCGGTCAATGTGGCTTGCCGCAACTCTTGCCACGAGGCCACCCAAGGAGTGGCCGATGATCGAGTACGACGTAAAATTCTTCCTGTACTCGGCCCCGGAAGCAACGATCTGCAGCACCTCTTGGGCCACACGTTGCCCCTGAAGCATAAGTGGCTGCAGAGAATGCTCACCGACCACGGCATCTAAAACAACGATCAAAGTACGATCCGTTTGGGCAAAGCTTGCCGTGCAAAGGCCTTCAGCAAGACCTCGCAATCCTGCGCCAGAACCTCTGTAACCTGTGACAATTGCAATCAAATGCCATTCGTGCGTGTCGACACTGGATGAGGCGACAAATTGCGGGGAGCACTCGTATTGACTAAGCGATGATGCCAGCAGCAGCTTGTCGCCCCTTGTGTATGCATCGGAGCGCAATGCCCACATGCATGGTAGAAGCAGCACAGGCAGCAGCGACATGGATGCCATGGCCGCCATGCTACACTGCTATACTTTATGGACTAGTTGCAGTGTTCGCACACTACGTCGCTGGTTTGAGCTGCGCCAACGCAGGCTGCAGATGAGAGCAGCACTCAGAAGTGTTCAAAAACTCTTGACATGCAGCATCCTGCAGCATCGTGAACTGTCTCGGGGATCCTCGGATCCTCGGGATCCTAGGGATCCGGCCGCTGGCGGCATCCGGATGGGTGCATCTCCCGCCCAGGAGTCGATCCGTCGCTGCCGCTTCTGGCCCAGGCTCGGACTACAAAGCTTCCCAGTTCCCTGCACTCGCAAAGCGGGCCAGGTACGACTCTACAGGTACTGCACATGACGTATTCAAAACATAATTGCGATCTGATTTGCGCGAAGTAACCTAATGAACAAGGCTTTTTCCGCAACCTGCTCTGCAATCCCATCCGTTCGGACATCTTCAGACCCTCGGAATGCCTCCGCCATGCGCAATGTGGACTGCCTCGAGGTCACTTCGTGCGCCCAGAACCTCAGACAAGGCTGGTAGCGTCGCTGCTTCCTAAAAGCTCTGTCACCGTGTATTTTGGGCACCGCACTTCCGCTCGAGATCTGGGGATGCCTTCCAGACTTCGTTTCACTCAAGAACTTATCGTTCCCGCCGCTACCTGCCCTTCACAAAGCCTTTGCAGGTGCGAGGGCTTCCTTGGCTGGAGCCGGGTGCCTGCAGGAGAGGCATTGCACAAGCCTAAGAAAAGCACTGCCCCCTCGACGAAGGCCGTTTTGAGTAGGCAACACAAGGCAGCCCCATCAAGCCCTGAAGCTTCTTTTGCTGACGTGTGAGTGTCAGCCCTCGCTCAGTACTGTCCTCATCGCTGCATTCTTCTGTTTCACCATCATCATTAACATTTATTCAAAGTGCACAAGCAGGCGCGGATGCACTGTGGTAGCTATCTTTTACCTCAAAAGGGCGCCCTCAGTAAAGCCGAAAGGCATCGGAAGAGCTTCTGTGCACACCTTCCGACAAACTGCCAAACAGCATGCTGTCCTGCTGCTAAACTGCACAGCTGCTAGGGTGGTAGTTTCTCACCCGTCCTCGGCTTTGCGGAGGGCTTCTTTTCTAGCCTTCCTGCCGGCCCTTATCTGCTCCTTCTTGCGCTGGGCCTCGTCGCTCGGCTCCCGTCTCCAGGTGCCATTGAAAAGGGCACTCAGCAGGGGCTCGCGCTCGCATCCGCACTTCGTCAGCACATCGGCCAACATCTGGCTTGTATCCACCCAGATGGCGTATAGGTTCTTGTCATCCTGGTAGTCGTTGAGACCCAGGAGCTCTTTCACTTGTGCCAGAAGAATGCGGACACGCTTGTCCTGGGATATCCCAGCATCCTTGTTGATGCTGCTCTCCAGGCTCTTGGCGTCGGTGAAGCAGAGCACTCGGTCCTTCTTGAACTCGCGGTCCAGGTCGATGAGCCTCTCCGTGGGGTACTTCACTTCCATCAGGATCATCCTCACGTACTCCGCTGCTTCGGCGCCGGCCAAGAATCCATTCGACTCTGCGGCCAGTGTGCTTCTGCACACGCGCTTTATGCTCCCACTGTAGGTCTCGAGGAGGCAGATCGGGTGCTCCGAGCCGTCCGTGATGCTCTCCTTTGTGAGCCCGACCACGTATCCACACTGTGATTTCAGACCCTCGCCGTTGGCAAAGCTGCTGTCGGCGAAGCAGAACACTCGGCACTCCTCGAGTGTCAGGTCCGAGGCCACAAACCTCCACTTGGCCTCCGAGGTCTCCTTCAGCATCTTCACGGCCTTGTTGAGTTCGACCACATCCTTCACGGTCGGTCGGCCCATGCTCTGAGAGGCCATGCTCACGTTCACGGTGAGGTCGGGTCTTGACTGGCGCGTGACCCAGCCCATCTGCCCGATAAGAGCACGGAAGTTGCTCTTCTCCTCCTCGGTCAATGTGGCATTCGGGAGCTTCCTCCTGGCTGGGGCCAGGAGCATGTAGTCGATGCTCTCGATGGCGTCGAACTGGTCCACCGCTATGGTGTTGTCCTTCTGCTTCACGTTCTTCCCGCAGAAGCGGAACTCCTGGCGCTTGACCTTCAGGTAGAGCTCCTTCTCCAGTGCCATGAGGGTGGCCTCGGTCGTCTACGTGGGAGAGCATGATCCCCACAAGCTTGTCACCGCTGACCAGGTAGAACAGGGCTGCCTCGATCTTTGACATGGTCCAGCGGTACTTCTTGAGGGTCCGGAACAACTTCTTCCACCATGACCTCCCCGCGTCCTTGGTCCCATAGATGGAACCCTTTGCTCGGAAAAGAGCGTGCTGGGCAACTCCAGGCGGTGGTGGCCGAGGCGCCCTCAAAATGAGCAACCGGTCTATTCCCTGGGACTGGAGGTAGGCGGTCGAGGCGTCACAGGCAACCAGGATCCACCTTTGCAACACTGCCACCGTGCACACGAGGTTAAAAGCTAGGAGGGAGGCGGTCGGGCTGTCGGAACGAATGCCGTTGTCATTCTCCTGGCACCCTTGCACGACCATGCGGGATTTGGCCTCGAACGGGAACTCTTTCTTGATCTGGTCGGCGGTCTTGCCAGTTCTCTTCGCCAGGGCTTTGGCAAGAAGTCGTGGCTTGTCGTTCTTGTCGGTGTGAACCCACCGCGTCCCGATGATCTTCGTGTCCGGGGGCAGCTGGGCAATCTCTTCGGCAGTGAGCTCTTGCACGGCATCGAACTTCATCCAAGATGACCATTCCTTAGCCAGAGGCTTCAAACTTTGCGCGGTCCTCGGGCTTCAGGTCCTTGAGCTTGATCTCGGAGCGAACGGCCTTCCCAGTTAACAAAACATCCGCCGGGCACTCGGGAATCGGCTCGTCCTCGCTGTTCTCGCTGCTCTCCTCGTCGTGCAAGTTCTCGCTGCCCAGCATCCTCTTCAAAGTCTTTTCTCGAAGCGTGTGTGGTAAACTCGGGCAACCCCA